CATCTGATTATATCTTATGTGTATTTTATTACCGTTGAAGTTCGATCTGATCTGGTTGAGTCTTGCATGATCTTTTTAAGATGGGTATGTGTAATTGATCTAGTCTGACCGAGAGTGAAATCAATCCAATTTAAACATCCTCATTTTTCAAAAACTAGATTTGGAAAAGTATTTGGTGAAAAAATTGCAATAATACTAATACAATAATACAATCATAATAATAAAAATTAAAATAATTTTTGGGCGGATAGTATCTAGTATCACAATTTTTGTTGGTTAATAATGACGATAGTATAAAATAATTTTAAATTTTTGAACCAGAAAACTATTCTGGGTTTAAATATTAAAAGAAGATAATAGATATTAATGTTAATGCCTGCAGGAGATGATGAATTCTTGAAGAGCTTTACAGGAAAAGTGAAATGTTTAAAGAAGAAAAAAAAACAGTTGAGATATATTTAATCTCTTTTACTTGCAACAATCCACTTTTCACGTTGTTAACACACAAGTTTGACGATTAATATCTTTCATTTTTTATTAAAAAAAATTAAAATTTGATATTTTGAAAATTTATAATGAAATGAACTTAACAATATTTTTCATCATCTGAAATATATTAATAAATAAAATGTAATCAAAATAGAGTATATGAATAGCGTAAAACTCACCAATGTTGTATTAACAAAGAACGGTTGTAGTGGATCATACTTGAAATTGGCAAAGTCCGAGAGGCAATGGCTTAGTATCCGGTATCAGATTCGTGACCCAGTGTGCAAATTTATAAAGCCCAGCCCGTACTTAAATGTCAGGCGAAGGGACTTGTAGTACTACTTCTAGGGCGGTCGTTCTCCGCGCACCGGTATTATTACTCTGCGCGCCCCAATTTATCCCGGTTGGACAAATTTATCCTTTTCTTCATTTAACCACTCCGCATTTCTTTTGTTACAGACGTAACCAAATTATGGGATCAATCATACAATATCAATAGAAAATCTTCAAGCCTCGTCCACTACAAGTTACAAGCGTGGGATTGAGATTCTGAAAACAATTTACAATTGATATATACGAAGTATGATTATATGCACTAGTGCACTACAAACTACAAATTTCAATTGTGTTGTCTTATCAATATATTTAAGTTTCGTTTGAAGAGTTGTATAAAATGTTAAATCATTATAAAAACTTATCAAACTCAAAGATAGGTTCACTATTAATAAAAGATTTGAAGGATAAATTGTGTTGATATGTTTTAATTTATTTATTTATCATTAATTTCATTGCATGACTAATCCCATAAAATTTGGCTACGTTTTTACTACATCCATTCTTAAATAAATGCAAAATGTTGAATTTTACACTATTCACTTGTTCCACTTTGACTATGTTTTATTTATTAATGTATAATATATATATATGTATATGTATATATATATATATATAGAGGAATGCTCCTGTCCAGACGTCCGGACAGGAGCCGCCGTCCGGCCGGCGGCGTTTGGCCGCCTTCCCGGTGGAATTTTTTGATGAAATTTTTATGGCATGTTCTCCATCAAGTCTAGTTTATCCACAAAAAAATTCAGCCAAAAACTCAATCGGGAAGGTCGTCAAATGATTTTTGCAAGTTAACTGGTCCGGAATATGTATTTTCCGGACCAGTTAACTTGCAAAAATCATTTGACGACCTTCCCGATTGAGTTTTTGGCTGAATTTTTTTGTGGATAAACTAGACTTGATGGAGAACATGCCATAAAAATTTCATCAAAAAATTCCACCGGGAAGGCGGCCAAACGCCGCCGGCCGGACGGCGGCTCCTGTCCGGACGTCTGGACAGGATCTTTTCTATATATATATATATATATATATATATATTCGAAAAAAATATTGTTTCATTTATCTTATTGTAAATTTTCAAAATCTAATTTTTATTACTAATAGAGATTTATATATATTAACGGTAAAAGTTATGTCTTGACAAATGTGAATGTTGACCGTTGCATTTAGTTAAGAGCGGAGGAAGTACCAAAGGAAATTGAAACCTGGAAGTTGACTGTGAAATCTTTCAAATCTTTTATTAATAGTGAACATATTTTTGTCTTTGATAATTTTTATACTAAACTACCATTCTAAGAGCCCGTTTGGTAATACTTGAATCGGCTGATGCTGCTGAAATTTATAAAGTTCTGGTTGAAACGATGGATTGACTTTCTGCTCATTTATGAAAAAATTACTTAAAATATGTATTATCAATAAACTAAAGAAAAAATACATGAAAATAGCTAAAATGTTCATCTGCAGCCATTTCAGTCAATACAGCCAGAAAAGTAACTTCAACCTTAATTTTCTTATTATTACGCAATTAAGCGTCCGAAATTAAAAGTTACATGTTCGGTAAAAAAGTTTGTTGATAAACCTGAAAATCCGAATAACAAATTTACCTAACGGACTCTAAAATATACAACTATTCAAACGTTAAATCTAACAACATTATATTCATGAATGAGGGTTGGTACCCTTAATTTATAACAATACACTTTGAGCATCACAAGTAGTACATTATTCCTAAAAAATGGAACCTAATTTTTCATGTGACTTCTTTACCCTTACTATACTAACTATGATGTTTACCTTCCGTTAAGTTTTTTTTAATAATAGGAGTATATTTAAAAGAATTATAACTGACCTCCTAAGTCCTAACTCGTTGCTGACTAGTTAGCATGTTAGATGAATTCTAATTTCAAATGGTTAACACTTATATTAGTTATATCTGAAAAAGTTTTAAACCGTTGTTGATGTTAAAAAAAGTTTAATAAACCGAAATGTTATGTTTACTATGGGGTACGATTAAAATTATTACATTTCAACAATTTTGCGTTAGATGTTTTTATAAAATACAATGGTACAAAAGTGTTCTAGAAACGTCTATGTGTCATTGATGATTTCATATATAAAACCAAAAATATATGCAATTTATGGAATCACATAGTTTTATCAATTCAAGATCCAAAAGATAGACGAATTATCCATATGAAATTTTGAAAGGTCAAGTGCATCGATATAGGACCTGAATAATGAAAAACTATCAATTTAGGACCTAAGTTGTCATAATTTTTTTTATTTTTTTAAATTTTGAAATATTATTTAGTTTTATTAAACTAATAAACTTCTGTGAAGAAAAGTTTATCAAAAACTAGTAATGGAATTAAAAAAACCTATGAAATGTTAGGTCTTAAATTGACAGTTTTCCATCATTCGGGTCCTATATCGATACGTTTCATCTTTCGGATCCTGAATTGATAATTAATCTATCTTTTGGATCTTGAATTGATAAAATTTCTAAAATATAAGCACATATCTGAACAATAATTGACTATTTGAAAATATATATGATCTGACAATTTTCAAAAAATATTGTAAACTTATATACACTATCTAAGAAAATCTCATAACAATATCATATACATAGTATAATATTCCATTTGCCCCGTTAGGATTGTCTTATTTTTCTTTTCGGACAATCTCACTAAAATTGTCTCATATCAAATTTGGTAAAGTTGTGCGAGTCTAAATTACTTTTACTTGGCCAATTTAATATCAACCATATAAACTCTTTTTCTTATTAAACACATCACTTTCTCATGTCTCAATGATAGTAATTCCTTACAAAATGAACACTATTTTAATATTGGACAAAAGTTGTCGCGCCTTGCGCGATCAAACACTAGTACGTAATATATTAATAAGAAGAGATAATTCCCTAAATGGGACTAAATCAATGTTAAAATGCACAAATAGGACTCATAATTTATAGGACTAAAAATGAACGGATTAGACACAATTGCCCTTGATAAATTAAGGATCAAATAAAAAAATAAAACCCAGGTGTCCAGACACAATTCCCCATATGTCTCGTTCATCGATGCTGCCTATAGAGTTAAACTCGAAACTGTCGGTCACCTTCATCGCCTTCAGTGCACGCCCAACACGGCCGCCGTTGTTGATACCACCACCGCAGGCACCATCGAAATTGCCGCTGCACAATTCCAGTGAGGTGACTTACCCCGTCATCCAGCGAGAATGGTGTCACCGCTAAATCCTTTGTGGACATGCTGCCATCTTCTTAATCACAGCTACCCTGTGGAGTGTATAATTTCAATTTCAGGCAAAATTACAATCACGATAACAATAATGACAGAAAATTGGCATTTCTATATGCAAAAATATGGAATTTTTAGATTACAAATTATGGCATTTTCACATTTTGGAGTTGAAAATGTGAAACAGGAGAAGAAAAATGAAGTTGTGTTGCTGATGAATTGAATTCAATGCCATAAAAATGCCATAATTTGTGAAAATTCCAAAAATCTGGCATTTTCGAACTTGTAAAATTTCCATCTGCATAAACAAATGCCATAAATGTGGCAATTTTTACAAATTGATAAACATACACAATCATAAATTTTAGATCTAAAATTTTTTGAACTGAGAGCCACAACTTTTAATTCCCAAAGGTTTCAAATTCCAAATATCCATTCAGAATCTAAAAAAAATTCGAATAAAAGAGAAGCAGAAAATAGAGGAGAAGGAAGAAGATGATTAAGAACAGAGGAGAAGGTAGAAGAAGGAAGAGAAGGATGGGGGGGATTACTTGGAGACCGCTGGCCAGAGTAAGGTGTGCGGAAGAAGATCGAAGAGCGGGAGAGGAGCTCCCTGCAATTGATGCGGAATAGAAGATGACGATGTCGATCGAATTGAGGTGTTGGGCTGAGGTTTTATTATACCGATATCGAGTAGCAGGGGTATAGTAGGAATAAAAAGTCCTATTTAGGTAAAATAAAGGATCAACTCCCATATAGGAGTTTTGATGATAATTCTGTCCTATCTAGAGGTAAAAACTCTAATAAGAAACGCAATTGAAATTTGTAATTTGTACTCCGTACAACATAAATATTAATTGTAAATTGTTTTCATCATTTATCTAAACCCCACGCTAGTGGATGGGGCTGGGAGATTTACTATTGGTAGGGTACGATTGATCTCATAGATTTGGTTACGAGCAAAAGAAAGAAAAGGATAAATTTGTCCAGCCGGGAAAAGATGGGGCGCGCATAGTAATAATATTGCTGCGCCGAGCTTCACCCCTTCTAGGGTTCCGTTTGGAGTTAGAGCCTCAGAGGTTGGTTTGGTGTGTAAAAATGGCGTGTACCATAGATTTCAGGTTCCTGGATGAGGGTTTCGGAGGCAAAACGTACAAGCGCAAGAGAGCGGAGAAGGAGGCCGGCGTTCGATTGGAGGAGGAAGATGAAGACGCTGTGGCTATGGAAGTCGAGAACGGCGCTCCTCCGTCAAAAAGGCAGGCCGTCTCATCATCCGATGATCCGAATAGGCCGGTGATGGGGAAGCCGACGTACGACGGTGTGATAGCTGGGAGAGTGTCAGGGAGGAACTGGAAGCAGGTCCGGACGCGTAGATCTTCGGCGCTTCATGTTAGTCGGAAGGGGAAGACGCTGGATGAGAAGGTAAAGGAGAAAGAGATAAAGAAGGCGTACAAGGAGAGGATGAGCGAACTGAAAGAGGCGATCAGGCAGAACAAGATAGAGAAGCGGAAGAAGAGGGAGGAGAGGGAGAAGAAGAAGAAGGAGAACATCATCAAATCTGGAACCAAGTTCCAGAAGATCACCAATCCTAAGACTCTTAAGAAAATTGCCAAATCTGCCAAGCAGAAGAAGCTCCTCCAGGTGGTTTCTGATGATCTTCTTAAAGGCAGTAACAAGAAGTAGTAATTCGATCCTTTATTTCAGAATTTGGGATCGTTTTTTGGCTATATTCACTTATGATTTTAATGTGTTTTCTCCAAATGTATTATCTAAATCAATGCGGTTTTCTTTTAAATCAGTGATTATAACTGTTTCAAATTTTGTTGAAGCCTCCTCTCCAAGATTATTATGGTTTAATCCAAGTCGCTAGCTAATCCGTCTTAGTTTTATTATAGGCTTATAGCTATAATAGTGCTGGTCTATGTATTTCTTCTGTTTTTTACTCCCATTAAATTGCCTTCTTTCCCATTAAATTGCCTTCTTTCATGACTAGCTTATTATCGTTTGCTGTATTATTGGACTATTGTGTCCTCAATCTCGAAAGATAATCTCATTATCCATCACTATATGTATGATCTGCAGCATTGTATTGTGGTAAGTGATGGTAACTGGAGCCCATGGCCCCTACTCTTAGGGTGTGTTTGGGAGTAGAAATTTGGGGAGGAGGGGAAGGGATGGGAGGGTCAATGACCCTCCATTTTCTAGAAGTGACATTAATGGGGGAAGATTGATCGAACAACACTGCTAATTTTTCAGCCTGGTTCTAAAACTGTTTACAGTGCTCTCACACTCCACCAATTTAGAAACCAAATCAGTGGTGAAGAAGGGTTGTTGAAGAACTTTTTTAATGAAAGGAGGGTGTATCTTTGCCAAGCCTGTGTAGTTAAGATTGCTGTAGTTTATAAGAAGAATCATCTCTCCATGAAAATCGATAATGTCTTTCCTGATCATCATTTCTTCTATGTGATATGGCCCCTGGTTATTAACAACTGGTTTGCTCTGCAAAGGAAATGCTAAGTTTCATGGTTCATTTGTTTGTATTTTTAATTTTTAGTTTTTAAACTGTTTATCTTGTCTAAGTTCCTTTGTATTTTATGGAGATGAGGTTTCTTCTTTTCACTATGTGACCCAAATTTTCACTCGCAGAAGTGCTGTTTTGTGTGTTTATTCATCATTTTCTTAATTATAGTGCTGGTGATTACAACCAGTGCCCTCAAAAAGATTTTTGGGTTTTGAAGAAGCATGGATCAAAACAGTATTGGTCTAAAATGTATAGGATTTACATTGAGACTGTCACATGGTTCTGGCCCATGAGGGACTTAAAACCACTATACAAGCTCAGTAATAGTGAGTTATTGCTGCAGTTTGGTGACAGTATTGTTGTTTACAATGGAAAGACAAGAGTGTGAGCCTGTGAGGTATTCTTAGGACCGGGGTGTATTGTATTCGCATTGATTTTTTAAATTCAAAGACTTTTCAGAAGTGAATAAGAATTTAAATCCATAAACGTTTCTATGAATAAAATCCGTTAAGTTACATAAATCTATGGGTTGGTTTGCAACTGTTTTTAAAAAAGCACTTCTCAGCTTTTGACTTTAAAAAGCATTTATTTTTCCAAACACTACAATTTTTATTTTTCTCGGCTTACGCGTCAAAAGTGCTTTTACTTTTTCTATTACACAAAAGCACTTATTTTACCAAACACTACCCACTTTTACTTTTCAAAATCATTTTTTTCTCAAACACTATCAACTTTTATATAATCACTTCTCCTTATGCCTGGACTCGGGCCGGTTCGGGCCCGGTTCGGGCCTGGGCCCGGCCGGGCCTCGGGCCAGGAAAGGGAGGCCCGAGCCCGAACCGCCGGTGGCCGGTTCCGGGCCGGGCCGGGCCGGGCCGAACCGGCCCAATAATTTTTTTGTTCTCCTATTTAATCCCCTACCCCTCCCCCTCAACCCCAAACCATCCCAAACCACCTCAAATGGCCCAAAATACCTAATCCAACCTAAAACTTAAAAAATTTCAAAAAAAAAAATTAAAATTAAAATCCGGCCCGGACCGGGCCCGAACCGGCCGGGCCGGTTCACCAAAACCTGGGCCCGGGCCCGAACCGCCCAGCAGCCGGGCCGGGCCGAACCGAGGGACCCACCGGGCCCCGGGCCGGGCCGGGCCAAACAGTAACCGGGCCGGGCCGGTTCCGGGCCGGGCCGCCCGGCCCGAGTCCAGCACTACTTCTCCTCATTTCATTAAAAAACACTTTTTAAAAGCAGAAGCTGTGGCAAACAGACTCTACGGACTTTTCAAAGTTTTTAAATTCAAAGAATTTTTTCCTTTTTATAGGGCTCAAGTGCGTAGCCTGTAAAAAACTGGCAGCCCTTTTTGAAGAAGTTAAGAAAACATTCAAGAAATCACTGAAAGCCTTTTAAGTTGAAAACAAGAGTGTTTTAAAATTATTTTTCAGTATACTATAAATTTTTATTGAAGCTTTTGCAACTGTTTATCTTATCAATAGTTTATATATATACGGTCTCTTTGATGAACATGCTTGAGATGGTAAGATTTTTTATTTCTTGTTAACTTCTTAAAATGATAGATAAAATAACTTTCATAAGAAAGCCAGTAACATGATAGTGTCGTGTCGCTGATATAATAGTGAAGTAACAATGTCGATGATATAATAGTGAAGTAACAATGATGCCGCACTGGAGTACTATTTTCACATTGAATTGAATTGAACATTCATCAATTAACTCAGCAAAACTAATTAAGACGCATACCTATGCTCTTAAATTCATGCATATTTGTTTGCCTATTGTGACACTCCCAAAGAGGAGATTGTGCATTCAAAACTATCCTCCCAAAGAGAAGGTCATGTTCAAAACTCATCCAGTCAAGGATGTTGGTGTTTAATAGGTACTATAACAAACTAGAAATTTCAGCTTAAACTTGCCAAGTTTTGAACAAATACATCTCCTCAAGGTATAGAAGTATCAAACACATATCCAAGTGCCGGTGGGCATAACTTAGCTAGTAGATTGAGGTATCACAAGGGGCGAGTCTTAAGTTCGAAACCTATCAACTGCGATAAGAGGTTACGATAAGATGTTACAGTTTAAAAATGCAGAGGGCCTCTATAGGTATTTAGGTAGAGGCTTAGGGATGAGATGTCATCTTTTTTCTAACATTAGAGCCTGTTTGGATGGAGAGTTGAAAGATGTTGGTAATGAAAGTGTTAGTAAGTGTTGGCAAAGGCCTGGAAAGAGGAGGTAAGTGCAAGTGTAAAACATAAACTTACCTTATTTGGGAGAGTAAAAAATGAAGTGTTGTCAATGGAAGTTTTATCAGTTAAATTGACAATAATGCCCTCATTTAAATCCCAAGTGCAATATAAATTCAAAGCTCTGATCTAGAAATACCTCTGCTTCTCGTAAGCTTCTCCCTAGACCTGATTCGTACACACGCATACATACATATGAAGTATATTTTAGTTGATAGCATGAATCTGCAATACCTTAAAAACATGAATCTGCAATTATATATGGTGGCAGGTAGAGAAACCATTCAAGTCAAGACAGCTAACTTTATGAAATAAAACAAGAACTACAATAGCCAGGTGTGCGAACTACAGTGACAATGAGGCCGACCACCATGGTGTTCGGCACCAGAATTAGGTTGAAGAGGAAATAAACCATCAAGCTGAGGGGAAGCCCAATGATGAAGAATGAAGGAGATGATGGGTAAGTCGAGAAAGATGGTTCCAATCGGGATGAGGGCTACGATGGCTATGACTTGGCCAATGGACGAACCATTTTCATGGAGGGGATGGAGGTAGGACGGAAATATGAAGGATGAGATTTGTCCAGCACTCCAAAACACTCCAAATTGGAGTATTAAAAAAGTCACTTATTGAGATGTTTAGAAGGTTTCTCCTAACATTTTTAAACACTTACTAACATTTCAATTTTCTTCTAAAAATTCTCCCAATTATATGTTAGAACCAACACAGTCCACTTCCATTACTAAGGCCTTTTAATCATCCATCCAAAGAGGCAATTTATGTAGCACTAATACGAATACGTGAAAACGCGGGTTACTACAAAATCCAAAACAAAGTAGGATACAAATACGGAGACATTTTTATATATATATTAAAAGTTATGTGGATATATATATATATATATATATATATATATATATATATATATATATATATATTAAAAATTATGGGGGTGTATATGTAAATTTTAAAAAGTACAAGTTTTGTTTGAAAATATATACATAAACAAGTTTTGTTCATTCATGACATTGAAACCTTTCACATTATCAAGATAGTTTTTTTATCGTCAAAACAGATGGTTTAAATTGATATCACAGCATTCAGATATGGGTTAAAACAGACAAAAGACCACTGGCAACCGCCGACACTCGAACTAGACTCAGAGTTAATCACCTTCAACGAAGCAATATAATTCGCTGATCCATTACTGGGCACAACTGAGCCAAAGACGGTTAAAGCAGATCTCCCATCATCCAAATCTAAAACCACAGTCTTACAACAATAGCAAAAATCAAAGGAAAAGCAAACCGTATGATCAAAAAAATTAAAAAGCAAAAAAAAACTATAAAATAAAATTCTTGCTCTGTCTTCCTGAGCTCCAAATCTTCTCGTTCTTCATTTTTTGGCGGTGGTTCCGAAGGGGGACGAACCATCGACTGATCGACACTTCATCTTTTTCTTTCATTTTCACCACTGCATCTTGAATTATCTCGTGCTGATCCACTACCACAATTTCCCATATATTCTTTTTGCCTCCGGCAATTGCCACACCAATGAAGCTACAAACCATGCTCCAGAAACACAAACACTCGCACCATGAAGCTTTATTCTTCCCTATTCCTGCAAGATAGCCAATAAGAGCGGCACTCCTGATGAAGTTGGCAGCCTAGGACGCCCAAATTCTGAGAGCTTGAACCCTGCCGCGATTGAGTCTCCTCAAACGCCGCCCATCCTATTCGAAAACCATCAAAACAGAGGGCGATCTCAACCACCCATCCCTCGTCCATCCGCACAACAACCGCATCCAACGACGCATCCAACACAGCCACCTCGAATACAAACGCGGTTGGAGTCATCGGAATCAACGATTCAATCCACAACCGCAAGAGAAGAGGACAATCCATAGCATGACCCCCCTGAATCATCCCCAAAGCACACCAGAAAATTAACCAAACCCGCACCATCCCTCAACGACGGTCGAAGGCGGCGGGAGAAGAAACCCCTAAAAGAAGGGAGAAGACCACGTTTTGCAATATCTCTTCACATTATCAAGATAGTTTGAAGTAAATTATTCTTTATCTCATATATATTAGTCCATCTCGGAAAATAAATATAGTAATGAATCATTAATTTAAAATGAGAAACAAGTCAAACAACCACAATTTTAAAATTAAAAGTACAAATACTCAAAGTTCTTGGGTAATGGAGATAAAAAAAACTATACTCTAATAAATAAATAAATAAATAACTAAAAGTTCAAATACATGTTTTTACTAGAGATACTAATTTCCAGGGATAACATCGTTTTCCAAAAATACAACATCCAGTTCTGGTTATCTATGGAAAGGTTGTTGAACTCAAGTACTCATATGTCCTATATGCTTCCAAAGTCATCTACACCAACATCTCACATTTTACTTGCCGTTCATATACTTAGTTGTGTGCGATATAAAACAATGTACTACATTCGTCCCGTTGGAAGGTTCTCATAGCAAAACGACACAGTTATTTAGATAATAATTAAATAAAGTATTTCGAGTATATTTTGAGAAATAATTTTAATAGGTACGGAGTATATATTTAAAGTAGTTAGTATTGATAATCGTGATGTTATAAATATATTATTTTTAATATTTAATGATTAATTTGTCACTTAAGATTGTTAATTGTTTCTTAAAATAGAAATTAGAACTTTTTAATGGGACGTCCAAAAAAGAAAGTGAGAATCTTGTAATGGGACAGAGGAAGTAACATTTATATTTAGTTTTTCATTTTTTAAAAATTTGATTATGTAAACTTTAGGTGTTGTCATGTTGTGTTTTATTAAAAAGTTAATACGTGTGCCGTTGTGCAAGGTGGTCGCCTTCCCTCACCGACAAATATAGAATCACAACGGCCAGAACGCACATTTCATTTCCGCCACAGGAAAATGGAAATTTCACCCTCTTCCGACGATGAAGAAGATCGCAGGAAGCTTATCGGCAATGGAGGACAGTGGGATGGCGCAAAATCTCCAGATCGGTCCACTTTCCAGATCGACGACATAAAAAACCGGTTCAACGACGCCGGGCGATTAGACTGCGGCTTCAAGAAGAGGTACTGCTTAGCCTTCATTCTCCCAGTCTTTGTTCTCACCCTTTACGTTACTACTGACATCAAAGGCATCTTCCGAACTGGAGTCTCTAATATCGCCTTCGACTATACGGTTAGTCGCATGCGCGAGTCCGAGTTACGTGCTCTGTATATGCTTCGGCAGCAGCAATTAGGGCTTTTCAAGCTGTGGAACCACTCGTTCCTAAATACAACGAGCTCCGCTTCTGTTAATAATACTGATAATTCTAATTCTAATAAATTGCTTTCGAGTTCGCCATCTTCCATTGTAATATCAGAAAATGTGAAAGCTGATTTGCTTAGTCAGATCTCATTGAATAAGCAAATTCAAGAAGCTCTTCTGTCATCACATCAATTCCAGAATTCATTAGATGTATTATCAGATAATTTCACAGATCCAAGCATTAGCGGACTAGGTAGGTGTGCGAAGGTTGATCAGGGGTGGTCTGAGAGGAAAACTATCGAATGGAAGCCAGAACCAAATAAGTATTTGTTTGCCGTTTGTGTCTCTGGTCAAATGTCGAACCATTTGATTTGTTTGGAGAAACATATGTTTTTTGCAGCAGTGCTTAATCGCATTTTGGTCATTCCCAGCTCAAAAGTAGACTATGAGTTTCAAAGGGTTTTGGATATTGAACATATAAATACGTGTTTGGGGAGAAAAGTAGTTATTGCTTATGAGGAGCTTGCAGAAAGTCAGAAGAACCGTGTGCATATAGATAGGTTCATTTGTTATTTTTCTCTGCCGCAACCTTGTTTCATGGACGAAGAGCGGATTAAAAAGTTGAAATCTTCAGGAGTTTCCATGAATAAGCTGGAAACTGCTTGGAACGAGGATATTAAAAACCCGTCACAGAAGACAATCGAAGATGTAGTTTCAAAGTTTTCTTCAGTTGATGATGTTATTGCTATTGGCGATGTGTTCTTTGCGGATGTTGAGAGAGACATGGTGGCGCAACCAGGCGGACCCATTGCGCACAAGTGCAAAACCCTAATTGAGCCCAGCCGTCTTATTGTGCTCACTGCCCAAAGATTTGTTCAGACATTTTTGGGTGACAACTTTATAGCTCTTCATTTCCGTCGGCACGGTTTCTTGAAATTTTGGTATGTTGTTATTCCTTTTCGGTAAATCACCAAAGTCTTTTTGGACTAGGCTTGGATTTTGTTGTATTCCTTTGTTGTAAATGATTTCATTTGCGACATTCTCATTTTTCGTCATCCTAAAAGTCTGTTTTTAACTTTAGTTTTACTCCCTCCATTATTTTAGTTGATCCATTAGGTTTTTATTGTTTTTAAGAGGGATTTTATAGGGTAGAGAATAGTAAGAGAGAGTTGAAATGGGAGAAAATGTAAGAAAGTGGAGATATGAAAGTAAGGATTTTATGTATATTGATTTGAGTGTACTTTCAAATTAGGAAAGTGGGGCAAGTAATACAAAACAGGATTATAAAACTGAAGAAACAAAAGCTTGAAAGTGACAAGTGTTACATGAAGGTGTATCTTTGCCTTCTATTGATAAGAGTGAATTTAGTGAAGCTGCTGAAATTTTTAGAATTGTTGCTTATGTAAATCAAGTTGCTGTAGTTTTTAATTATGCAAAAGGAAATATCTAATACTACATATATTTTGTTGATAAAGTAAAGAAAATATAAAGTTATTTTTAGAATGACCATTTCTGCAGGCTACAGCTACCACCAAGATCTGTGTGTTTTTTTCCGTTATTATTCAATCTAGTGTGTGCAATCAAATAATCTAGTACAACAACAACAACATTAGCCCAGTGCCGCAAAGGCTCCCACCTAGGGTGGGGTAAGGGTAATCAAATAATTTAGTCTTTGGTACGTAGAATAAAAATGGCTAAAAAGTGTGCTGATATGCCAAAAAAATTGACTACCAAATGGTCATCGAGAAATACGCTCGACCTCATATTTTGCATCACATTGCATTCAAATATGCATCGAATGATGTAGTTGTCTGCTGGAGCTTAATATGATTTGATGAATGTGTATTTTTTTCCTAATCACACTTGTGCTAAATTACCAGCAATGCCAAGAAACCGAGTTGCTTCTACCCCATTCCTCAAGCTGCTGATTGCATCAATCGTATGGTTGAAAGAGCCAATACTCCAGTAATATATCTATCTACAGATGCCGCAGAAAGTGAAACTAATTTGCTTCAGTCTCTGGTTCTCCTCGATGGAAAGAGTGTCCCTCTTGTTACAAGACCTGCTCGTAATTCAGCAGAAAAATGGGATGCTTTATTATATCGGCATGGCCTTGAGGGAGACACTCAGGTGAGCATTTGACTTAACCCGCATTTGAGTTATTGATGTGTCAGCAGGTGGTTGTCAGTAGACTATTGGCTCAATATTTCATTGGCTGAAGAATTAATTGCAACTCATTCTTTGCAAGTTTCTATTGATTTATTAATTTATTTAGGGTATTAGGGGAAAGGGAAGGAAAGTGGAGAAGCTATGAACTCCTCCAAACTCCACATATTTCACTCCCTCACTCCCCCAATTTGGGGTATTTCATTGGGCTTTTTTGTTAATTCTTTTCGGCCTTTTTTAAATCAAAAGTACTCTTATCATTTTTGTTATTCATATAGATCAGTGTATAAGTGTATTAACTTACATGAAAAGTTATATCAAATATACAATTTTTTAAGTATTGATTCTTATTTTGCTCCTCCATTGAATCAAACATACTTTTTAACTCTTCAATTTCCCCCCCTTCTTTTGAAGCAACAAAAGGCTTAGGGTTAAGACTGGACTCCATGAATCATTGATGTCTTGTGTGTGTTTATATTAATATTGTATAACCACACAATATATTATTACGGCAGTTCTAGGAAAACTTTGAGCAATCAATTCATTTTGTGAGTACTGGGGAGTGAGAGGGGAGACAAGTATGTCTGTTGGAGAAGTCCCTTTGGGGGCTATTTAGGTGTATAAATAATGTATAATTGATCTGACCCCCCCCCCCCCCCCCCACTCCCACACTCACAAATACTGTTTTTCATTTGGCTTGCTGTTTTTCCTTCAATATTGTACGGTTATCTTGGCTTTGAAGGTGGAAGCAATGCTGGACAAGACAATATGTGCATTGTCCGCTGTGTTCATAGGATCTCCCGGGTCCACCTTCACCGAGGACATTCTAAGGCTCCGGAGGGGCTGGGGCTCAGCATCTCTGTGTGATGAGTATCTTTGTCAAGGTGAAATCCCAAACTTCATTGCAGATGACGAGTGAGTCCCAAACTGTCATACACTTTGGGAACTACAGTGACTAGGGGTGCGATTGGCCACCACAAGTTTGGTGGAACCAGAAATACACTCGCCATCAAGTTATATACTGCATTTGGCTGATCAATGTTGCCTGATTTTTTAAGGAGACGAAGTGGTCTAGCCGTTTGCTCATTCTTGCCTTTATGTTTGTGTGTATGTAGTGTATAAATTTTACAGTTTTGGTATATTATGTAGTCTCCATTTTTTGTCTTTGACTTTTCTGTTTTGATAAATAACTAGATTTTTTCCCAGTATATATCTTTCCTGCGAATCTGCGACCTATCAACTGAGTCTTGAAAATTCGCTGTGGGTGTATATTGAGGGTTTTGGCATTAAGTTGGGCACTATGAAGCACGGATACTTTAGGGTAATAGGGTATCGTATCGGCGTATCAGAAACGTTCACGTATCTGATACTCTAGAATACTCGTACTATACGTTCTCGGGCCGTATATGTAATTTTTAAAAGTTTCCATTTTTGGTAATTATTTTAACATTTCGGATACTCGTTTTGTACGGATACTCCTATCACTTTTTAAAAAAAACTTCCAAAAAAACTTTTTTTAAAAAACACTCAAAATATACATAATAAAATAATTAAAGATGAAAAG